TTTTTACCAAATGTTTCTTGTATACTCTAGCTCCATAGTTCGCAGATTGTAGTATTGTAAGCCCATTCCGTACTACTGACAGGCATGCAACCTTTCTTTAAGCCTAGTCATAGAATTAGAAGCACTTCGTCCTGTATGTCCCTGCGAGGTGGTCTGAGCTACTTAGGCTGCAGAGCACGACTCTAAGGTATGAGTTGGACGAGGTTAACTATTGCTTTCTATAATCGTTATTTGTGAAGGTTATATCGTGCTAATATAGTCAGATTATTTATTCATTGGTGTTAATTGTAAGTATTGTTGTCCGTCCTCTAGGGCACAGCGGAGTCCTTCTCCTCTCGCGACTCCTCTCATTACGTCGCTACTCTCATTATTGCTCTCAGATAACTCTTATGCACCACTCTTCTTAATAGTTAAGATAATTAGACTTGTAAAGATCTTTTGTTTATTGAACCTTGAGATAACAATCTCACACAGATGATATGGAATTATAGTGAGTAAAGAAATATTGTCGTCAAGACTAAAGCCAAATTAATCCTAAAAATCTGCAATCTACTTTGAACGAACATTATATATATTCTGGCCAGATGAATAAAGCAGACAAGAAATTCTTGGCCGAAAAACTTGGCGAACATTGTTTCCAAACCATCTTTGCAAACAATGTTTACAGACATTCTTCACAAATCATAGTGACAGACAGTCTAAATAGAAGATTTTTAAATAACGTCGATAAAAATTGTAAATAAATTTCCTCTTTAACTCTGTCACTAAACATTTATGACGAACATCATTTGAGAACTTTTCTTAACTTTTCAACCCCTTCACAACTTCAACGTAGCATTCAATTTCAGCTTCCCACGCAGGCGCGAAGACTCTCGCCTAGACGTGAGGCGAATTTTTTCAATAAATTTTCTAGAACGAACTCGAAAGAAGCCACTCATCCATTCCGATGAAACTGAAATTGTTTTATTAAACTTGCAGAGTAAAGCCATACCGTGTATCTTGTTGGTAATTGCACAATCCGAATAACTTCAATCTATTTTCGGTTCTGAACAAGCACATAAATGGGTTTTCTAGTTTGAAGTTTCTACAAGCACATAAAGCTGGCTTTCAAGCTGCGATTGTCGAGAATTTTGAATGACGTCGCCGAATAATTTGACAAGGAGTATCTGCTTACCCATTAATTTTAAATATTTCAGAAATTTATTAATCATTCATTAAAAATTCATTAAGTTGTTTCATATAGTTTGTTTCATAAGAGTGTACACAACATACGTAATGCAAGAACGGTTTCCAAGCGTATGGTTGCAGTGTCAGAACGATTATATGACAAAACAACAACTTAGATGTAAGTAAATTTCGATTAGGGGCGCTTATTGTAGCTTGAATTATTTTCTCTTCAAGTGATGATGCAGAGCCGACTCATCACACCAGCCACTGTTACTTCACTTCAGAAAAGTTTCATCACATCAGCCAACAGAATTACTTCACATGTCATCACACTTGCGGGCGTTGTCACCATAACGTAATTTGAATGTGGAGTTTTATTTGTGGCCGATGGAAATTGAATGAAGTTGCGGGCATTGCCCGTAGCAATTACAGAGTTTACGAGGCTTGTTCACTCTGATGTGTTGGTGGTTTATTTTTGGGATTTGTATAGGATTTATTATTGGGAAATTTTATAGGCAACAGTAATTCGTTAGGAGTAAATTGGCTGTATTGAATCCCTACCTCGGGAATAATTCTTTTAAACGGTAAATGGTTTCCTTGTATGGAAGTTTATTCTAAATGTTGGGGCTGAGTTTTTTCCGAAGTACGCAATTAAAAAAATGAATTATTAAATGGGTGCCATCGGAATAGCTTTATTTGGAATTTAATTGGGAAATAAATTTTCGAAAGTGAACAATTTCGTCCTTATGATTGCGAAAAAATTCTAATCAAGAGTTTCAAATTTAATTTTTGATTATGTTTTCGGTCAGAACAAATCTTTGTAGAAATCTTTTTTCATTATTCATAACAGAAAAAGCGGCTACTGTACATACAAGAAAAATAATAAAATGATAAACAGACCGTAAGTTTTGTGAATTTTTTTTCTGGAAACGATGTAATTAAAGTGACATTTTCGCCAATACAATCCGTTCCCTAACACCCTCTTACACCCCCTAACACCCTCTTACACCCCCTAACACCCTCTTACACCCCCTAACATCACTCCCTCTACAACGTTACACTTGGCATTTCATCTTCCTTGCAAGATATTTTCTCCGAGTTTACCTTCAACTTGGCAGTCTGAAGTTTTTCGATCGTAAATTGATAAGTCTTAATTAATATTACAGAGATAGAATTGAATTCCATTAAGGATTCGTATTTCACGAGTGCAAGTAATCTAAATTGCAATAAAGCTGGATCGACGAGATTCGGATTAGCATGCAAGCTTTACGATGTTTTTGCAAGAGCTGATGAAGGTCGAAGGAGTGAGCATGAAGTGCATGTTTGATAAATAGTGATGATGCTGATGTGTTGTGATCAATAATGATCGATGATTAGTACAAGTGGTGAGATAAATAATGATGAGCTTGACACTTTACGGATTAAGAAATAAGCCAATAACATGAATAAATTGAACAATAACTTGCTCCTAAAATAGGCTTGTTACCTGGCAGTTATTTTGTATAAACATGGCGTGTACATAGAAATGCAATTCGATACTGAAATGTATTTATTAAATTATTAATTGTGTTGAATTATTTATTACATCATTTATAACAGAGAATTTTATCAGATATTATTCTGCATGAAAATGTACGCTGGTTTAGGTTGTTATTCGAGTGTTGATTGCAACGCTTGCTGTTGGCTTGTTTGCTTGTGATATGAGTTTGTATTTCTTGTGTGTCTTAAGGCTCGTGTGTGTTTGTGAATTAATGTATTAATTGGTGTGTTTCCGGATTTTGGAGTGGAGTTAGTGTGAACTAACTAACTGTGCTAATTCCTGTGTAGAATGGTTTTGTGACGGGGATCCGGTCTTTCAGCGATGGTTATAAGTTTGTTGTGGTGTCGAGTTATTTGTAATGATAATGAAGGTGTTTTTATATTTCTAATTTATCTAAAGGGTTCATTCTTTAGATAAATTAATTGAGAGTTATTGCATGTCTGAAGCATCTCAAACATTGAGTGGTTGCCGTTATCTTAACGTTGTGTTCCGTTGCATTACTTTCGTTCATTATTAAAAATGATTGCAAAATTTTCCATTCAACGCTAATGTGAAGAAAATATTTATGTTACCAATGCTCGTTTTCAAATATTAAATATTTCGTCTTGCAACATTACATGAGAATAATTTATTGCAACAAACTATGCACGATTGAACTCTTCAAATCATAAAGTGTCCCAGATTTTCTGTTTCGTGTATAAAAGGATTGATCGTAATAGCAATTTAATATAATCCTTTCTAAGCTTTCATTTCAACAGCAACAAAAATAAATATTTGTCAGGTTAGGAGTGGCATTTAAAGTAATTTTTTGAATAAATTTCTATGCATGGCTAGTGAACAGCTGTTCGATTAACATCGTGGTAATAAATGTTCAAGAAACGAGCATATCAATGAATTTTCAGCATGGAAACTCTGTTGTTTGCGTCGTGATTAAACGATAAAGTATTTTGTAAAAAAAGTAAAAATTATGGATAAAAATGTTCAAAACATTAAAAAAAATAAAGTAACAATTCATGCAACAATTGGAGAAAAAATATATATATTTTTTTTATATTTGATGAACATCTAGAATTGTAATGGAAACAAAATAGAAATGTGATCACTATCATGAATAAACATATTTGACATTCCTAAAAATATAATCCTGACTCTAAGATTCGTGTATTGCTCTAGGGGTGAAAAATAAATGACGAGTCGCCTTGAATTTAATATTAAATGAACGGATAACTTTTCTTGCTATTTGATCTTTCACAAAATTTGCATCTCCAAAGTAAACTTAGTCAAAGAACATGAAAAGGTAATTTGTTTTTTTGCCATCTTTTATCATAGGTAAAGATAAAATAATAATTTATTCTGACATAATCAAGTCAAAAACTCTCAAATGACTCAGTATAACAATGAGCGGACAATGTGATACCATTTCGTGCATTTATTTTTCAGAGACGAGCTCCGTTTTTTTTCAAAATATCGAAAAAATATCACACACACACAGTGTGTGTGATTTTCAAAAAAAAAATCTTGAGTACAATACGAGATGTTTTTAAGTAAAATTCTAGGAAGCTTCTCATACTTTATAAGTCTTGCGACTATCTCATAAATATGTATATATAAATCTAATATAATAATTTTCCTGCAACGGCATTTGATTTCAGCCCACATAATATCAGTGATAACGCATACAGTGAGAGAAGTTTCTCATCAATAAAAATATTCCTTAAGTAACATTGCTACTGATATATTGCTCAGAATATAGCTTTCATTATTTATACTAAATTCGATAAGTACAAACTATACAATTTTTGTGCTATGTAGCTACCGATTTTTTAATATGATTTGAAGCGTCAACATATAAATTGTAAACATTAATTTTTTGTCATTGATAAAAAGCTGAGTTAGTTGTTTTGCATTCATTTAAATTTAGACTGGATTCTAAGGAAATTTTTATTTGTATAAAACCCCCCTAATAATAGCTAATTTTTTATTGAAAGCAGACTGCGTGAAAATATTCTTCTCATGTTAGATTTGCAAAGCGTTATTACATATCATGCATATTATTCACTTCGATGAAACTAACTGCCAATAATTGGTCATTAAATGCATATTGTTCATATTTGCTTTGCGTAGATACACCGTTCATTACTAGTTCAAAACATTTATAATTTCAAGTGAAATAAAGAGAACATAAAAGTAGGTACCGGTCTTCGAAGCTATTAAACTTTTTTCTAAATTTTAATGCATGATTTACTTTCCAAAACATGATCCATGCTTTGAAAATAATTGAATTTTCTTTTTCAGAGCTTAGTGGAAGGATGCAGAACTTAGGGTTATCAAGCTACAGCTTCGCTATCAAAATACTGCATTGATTGACAATCAAAGATACCACCTCCGAATCTCAATTGTTAATAATTGATTCAACATGGGATTAAAAAAATGAAAATTTTTTGGAATCTGGGCATAATAAAATGGAAACCGCAGCACATTTAGCCGCCGTAATTAACATCACAAAAAGAGCAACAATGGCACCACCTACATCAATGCTATCAGATAACATCAACGCTGATGTAGTAGATATAGATGCAGTAATCAGTAACAACTGCACCATCTCGTCTTGCAACGATAGCCGAGACGACTATTATATCGACAGCATCCATGACTACGTCTTCCCACAAACCCCAGAGTGGATCTTGATAGCCATTAACGCAATGGTCTTGGTCATCGGACTCCTGGGCAACTTTCTTGTCTGCTATGTTGTGTACCGCAACATCTCCATGCAAAATGTTACAAACATCTTTATTGTCAATCTCGCAGTCGCGGATTTTTGCGTTCTACTGATTTGTCTTCCGCCGACCGTGGTCTGGGATGTCACGGAGACTTGGTTCTTCGGGACCATCATGTGCAAGCTTACGCTCTACTTCCAGGTGAGAAATGCCTTTATTTTTATAATTAATACCAATTCAGAACAAACATTTCGTATATTTTACATGCATGCGACTTTATTAGATTACGTTTTGTTGGTATACAATTATAAATATGGTACAGTGCTATATGAAGCACTAGTTAGAAATATCACCGAATTTTTTGTTCAATAAATTATTCTTTCATCATCCCATTATAATTATGGCGCATTTGCCACCTACTTTGATGAAAGCGGCGGTAGAAAATTTTTGCAAGCGGTAATTAAGCATACTTGATATGTTATCGTATTTTTAAGGGAGGAAATTTCGTTCATTTAGGTTGCGTATAGATTGCCAGGTTAATATTTTTCAACTTGTTCATGTATTCGATGTAAGGAGTGAAGTGTCGAGAAAATATTCAAGTGGTGTATGGTAAATACTTTCGCAAACGCTCAGGTAATTTAAATGAATTTTGGTAGTTTAGAATTCAAGTCAATGAATATCTTCATTATGATTACAGATTTACCTTCATTTAAATAGGATTTTTTTTCACCCCACAAAACACCGAGTTCGTATTTGCCTTGCTGTAATCAATACAAGGTTAATGCTATTATTTGTGTCCTTATTTTCAATCACAAATGAAGTTCTAGTTTTCTTAATTCTCTTTTTAAATGAAAAATGCGCTTATTAATCGTCGCATTTGTGTAGAAGGATCGTGTTTTACTTGCTCCTTTCAATATCAGGGAAGTGATAATTTAACTGCTGATATCTACTTTAATTCTGAATTAAAATATATATTTAAAAAAATTGCTGCTTACTTTAATTAAAACTGATTAATTAGTAATTAACATAGTTTGAAGTTTCCTATTTAATTACCCAAATTTAGACGAGAACTATGAGTAGTCATCCTTCCCCCAATTACGACGAACTGCAATCCACGACTAGTCGTATTTTTCCTGTGTTTATCTAACCTGACTACATTGTTCGTAAGGTCAGAATTATTCAGACTTGGAACAGGCCCCATCTTGACCGACTCAGCGGGTAATCCGAGGGCAATTTCTTCACGGACAACTAATGAAATCCAAACAACCTGGGATATAGCGGGGCATGAGCAGGAAGGTTTAGCTCAAAGACAGGCAGGGGCGAAGGATGTTCGTGTGTTTAAGAATATCTATAAGGATAACATTATAGGAACGTTAAAAGGGTAGGATCGAGGTAAGAAGAAACTTTGAACCATAATGCTACCATACTTTAGTCCAGATAAACTTTAAGGAAATAAATTTAATCAATGTTAACGTCTTTTAAGCAGCTTGAAGCCCTCACTTTGGAGAGCCATTGACACACTGTACTTACGGTATACCGCGCATCGAATCTAGATGTGCGGAAAAAAACTAAACGGATTCTAGCTCATCCAAATGGAAGAAGTCTTTCCAAGGACGTGAACCCTGAAACAAACAATTGTGTTTTAAAATTTAAGACAAGTGAATCAGGATCACACTCCAATTTCATCATATAGTGATAGAAATGCGATTTATTTTTAACAAAATCATCGATCGTGTTTGTACTGTGGACATTTACACCCACCGAAAAAAATTATGTACAAGCATTTTTTTACATCAATTTTGAAATTACGCCTGGATATCTTCTCTATTCCTACATGTTAGTCATGACTTATAACACCCGCTCATTGAAATAGATATTAGATGACCTAAAAACAAAAAAATCGTATAAAACGGTGTTTTTGCAAACTCGCAAAATCCGCACAACAGCAAATCCAAAGTCATGTTTCTAATTTGGTGTAGCTTCAGACTAGACTAGACTAGAAGGCAGGAAGACAGCATCTAGCGAGCACGATTATACATCACTTCTTGGCGATTGGAGTACAGCTTCATACTCGCAGCAGTCACCTGATCGTAATGCCACACACACGACCATCCATCAAATCATTCAGGAAAATGTTTCTCAACTTTACAAAATTATGAACCTAGTTAGAATGAATCAATTCAGACAATGACAATGTCTGAATTGAATTGAATGTATTAATTATATGAATTGAATGTGGACAATGAATTTCTCTTGCTTGAAGAGTGTATTAGATTCAATGTAGCACCAAACATTGCTGTAAGATTTCTCATATTTTTCCGCTGATTTCTCAAAGTTTGGGGCGTTTTGCCGTACTAGAGAAATCTCTTACACTTCAGATGAGCCATAGTTTTTTCTCGTTATCCAACTCAGAGGAATTTTTCATGTTTTTTCTAGTTCGAAAAATAAACGTGAATAGTACATATATTATTAGTATTTTACTTCATATTATAGTGTAACTATTTGACCCATAGCTTTATGCCGTGCTTTCATTTAAAAATTTTTTTTTATATCAACCAATCCCCTTCGACGGAAAAGATTTCCCATGCATTTTCGGGCTTGTCATAACGACGATAATGTCAACACAAATACAAAACATTATTCGACCACAAGCAGATATTTATTTGAGTATTCACGCTCGTTGCCCTCACCTGCGATACGTGACATGCGCGTCACCTGCGGCTGACAGACTCTCTACCCTCGAACAAATATTTTGCCCTCAGTCTGCCACCAGCAGATATAAGCACAGAACATTTTCATAGCCAGGATTTGTAAGGGCAGGATTGCAGAATGGTTTATATCGTGAAATTATTATTTATTACTTTTTTTATTCAATTTTAACCTTATTAAATGATAAATGCAAATTCAGTGATATATGACAATAGAGATATCTATTTCGTCGGAAGATTAATATGAAACAAATGATCATAATTTACATTAAACTACGTTTATGTGTTAGCCGAATTATTTGTGGACGAGAAACATCAGCAAAGTTGATAATAATATTTATACCCTCTGCCCGTCAAAGAAAGTTTAAATTGAAAAAAAATATTCACATCTTTTCTCTTCCGAAATTCTGTAGTGTCAAAACCCAGCAAAACAGTAAGAATAATATAACATGTTATTTTTCTGCAAATCTAACTGCGTTTCCCAATTTCTTAGCTCGACAGCAGCCTTGTACGCAAATTAGAATTAAAAATAAAGAAAAGTGAATCCAGAATGTAAGTTTTTCATGTTGGTCTTGGTGCTACCGGAACACCCTAAACCAAAGCCCAAAATCATTTACAAATACATGCAAAATTCTTCGGATTTTGCTACAGTTTCCACGTTCTTGAAATGTTGTGCGAAATCCTAGCCTGAAACTCTTGGTGAAGACAAGAAAGAAATATGCACAAAATATTTCACTGAGAGAATGAGATTTTCCTGTCTCGTATAATGTGCAAGACCGAAAAATTAAGTTCAAAATAAATAATTCAAAAAATTTACAGAAATTCCAGTAGTAAACTCTCATTTTCACTCCCCAAAACTTGCTAAGCAAAAGCCGCGCAGGCTAATTAAAGTCAAAAGAAAGTTTCGGAACCGAATGAATTTTCCTGAAACATGAATGATCGAAGTCCCAGACTCAAATTAAAGTACAAAAAATGAGGGAAATTTAGAGGGTTCTTCGTGCCCAGGCTGACAAGTCGAGGGGTAATGTCATTTGTCGGTCCTCGATGGACGCCGACGCGCCGTCCTAACGCGATAGACTTTTGCGGATTTCCCTCTAGATCTTCACTATCATTTCCACAGAGCCTAGTTCAACGAAACCATTTAGATCAATTGCGGATCTCCCTCTAGATCCTCGCGATCATTTCCACAATTTCCATCTTGAATTATTTTGTGTATCAAATCCTCCAATATAGTCCAGATAGCTTAGAATTCTTATTTTAATTTGAAGTTCAATTATGCTTTGATAGTTAAACCATTTTTCGTATTAATGTTATTTTCGTATTAACTCCACATGAGAAAATAACCTTTTACCCGGCATGAAAAGTTTACACATTTTGTACATTTTTTTTTATTTTGTCTATCCTCATTTTCAGTAGCATCGGGTGCGTATCCCGCCTATTTTGAATATAATTATTGTGTCTTTTGTCACAGTCGAGGTATACAGTACAGTGTACTGTACGCTACGGTATACACTTCAAAGTGTCATTAATACAGTATAGAGGAGATTAAAGTATGTTGTGTATCATATTTATCTCTAAATATCCTGGGGCCATACTTTCAAAAATCGCTAAGTGAACGTAAGTACTTACACTCTATTTTCTTGTCCATGATTGGTGGATTTTGCTTAAAAGGCCGACAAGGATTGGTTCATGAACATACGATCTCTTAACTCTTTTAAATATAGGCCCTGTACTTTTTACAGACAGTGTCAGTGTCAGTACTGACGCTGGCAGAGTAAAGTAAGTTGTGTATAATATTTAACTCCAAGTATCCTGTACTTTTTAACAGACAGTGTCAGTGTCAGTGTCAGTGCTGACGCTAGCAGCGCTCAGTGTGGACCGCTGGTATGCAGTGTGCCGGCCGCTGCAGTGTCAAGCCACTCCACGACGCGCGAAGACATACACGCTTATCATCTGGATGATAGCGCTGCTAATCGGTGGGTATCATTAGCTTATCATCTGGATGATAGCGCTGCTAATCGGTGGCTATCATTAGCTTATCATCTGGATGATAGCGCTGCTAATCGGTGGGGATCATTAGATTATCATCTGGATGATAGCGCTGCTAATCGGTAAGTATCATTAGCTTAATGAGTCTTTGGTATAGCAAGACATGGGTATGATGATGAGTCATTGCAATGACTAGTCATAGGCGTGAAGTTTCGTTGGTATGACTAGTCGAAGACATAACAAGGCATTAAATGCTGGGCTATGGTATAACTATACTATTTAAGAGTTACATATCTTCATTCCGAAAAAAATATTCGAATACGGAATTTTTGTTCTACTTTATTATTTAACAGATTTTTCGTAAAACAAACGCGAGTTACTAAAAATAAATTCATTTTTATTCTAAACATCTTTAAGCTTAGTTTTTCCATGTAGTTATGGAGCAGAGCCTTAAAATGTCCGTAACGAAGAGTTTTGTACAATGAGGCCTCACCGGTAATAAACCATAAACAATGGGAACAAATTTGTCATAAAATATCATTGTACACTAGGCGTCAAGGTAAATTAAAATTCTTCTTGGATTTCTAGCGCGCGACATAAAGAGTTGTGTACTGTAAGTATATTAGGAAAAAGGTTCTTAATTAGCGAACACGCACTTAACGTTTACTTCGGGTCACTGGCAAGCCAACTGACTGAACAAAACGCACCACGCTGTGTATTGCTGTTGAATTATGACAAGGCACATTATGGAAGAGTGGTATAGCGTCAACCGTGTTTTAGCGCATTTTATCATTTATAGAAAAAATATAACTCGGTACTCACTGCAGTGAGTGACAGAGAGCGCATTTTCTCGTCGACGGAAACGTGAAGTCACGAACGGACGGACATACAGACAGACGGACGGACATGGCGAATACAATACGGTATTTTTTCCAGAAATGAGAAAATGTGCTATTATGCTCATGTCCGTCCGTCCATCCGTGACTTCACGTGGCTGAGAAAATGCGCTCTCTGTCACTCACTGCAGTGAGTACTGAGTTATATTTTTAATTACTTCAACATTAATCATTATAGCTTTGAGGACTAAATGCTCTCAAAACTGCACTAAGGAATAAAACCTTCACCGTCATGAAAAATTGGACGACGAAAATTTTTGATGCAGGAAACACTTTCCAACCGGCAGCAAAATTCTCGATACTGACGATATTATTCTAATAATTATTAATGATATTCATTAATTTCACTTGGAAGAGAAAACTAATCCCTCAATAAAGACTATATAAATAGTTCATACACCCATAAAACTCCTATAACTATTTGCTTTAATTGTGCTGTCCAATATCGCCTTCTGCAAAGAATTGCCAAATATTTACTTTAGAAGAAACATTAGCATTAATCGATAACCAGAACCGAAAATGTATTCAATGTAAACGATTTCAAATATCATTAAAATGTTGAGTCATAAAAGTCTGTAATCATAAATATCACACAGAACTGGTGATTCATGTCTATAATTTACAGGATATTAATCAATAATGCTTGCTCAACATCCGTCATGGACATCGTACAGGACGCGAGGTGCTCCACTCACCGCCTACACCGCAACTTTAATATGAACGTCCTAGGCTCGGGTCAGGGCTCTATTTCGAGGTCCCCGCAAGGCTTTCATGCACTAATTTGATGACAGCCGCGACCTCATGACAGATTCTGCCACATTGTGGCTGCTGCCACCATGCACTGAATTGCCGCATAGGCCTACTGGTCGTGAGTCCACATGTCCCTCATCGCAAAAAAACGTATACAGCCTCCCCGATGACATCGTTGGATCTCCGAGTATGAACGCGTTCAAGAACAGACTAGATAAAGCTATGGAAAAATATATGCTCAGACTTGAAATGCTTAGCACCATATCGAACCCGGTGGAAATCTAGTGGCTATTTAAAACTATCGTCAGTCATAAAAAAAATCCGGTCAAATGACTCGATTTTAGATCTTCTGTGAACAAGGTACGAAAAGGAAAAGAATCGGCGACAGGCCACATCAGGCCTACACTTCAGCGCCGACATCACTAAATTTTATGTTAATTATGTTATGACGCAACGTGGCTACTTGCCACAATTTTGCGCCTCACTAAACGAAGCCTAAATTAATTAGCGTCGCCCCATACACAGCTGCTTCTCTGAAACCACAACATTTATTTGGTTCATTTTATAGATAAATAGATAATAGGAATTATTTCATGTAAAGAAGTACCCTAACAAAATTTAGAGCCGTCCCAGCTTCTGGTATTCCAAATCAGAAGCTGCCGCGTCTGTAAATTTTCACTGGGTTATAATTTAATAATGTAACAGTTTTCTATACCGACATCTAAGGAGTGGCACCTGAAACTTTCTTGGCTAAAAATTATGATAAATTTATTGCTGGCCATCCGTTATCCGTGCATTGACATGCATATTTGTACCCTGGATGCTCCTCATTAAATCCAGCCCACTGGCTGTTTGTTAGTCATCGCTTGTGAGCAACTAGTTAAATATCGCCTTCTGGATAAAGCTTGATTAGAAATATTAATTCATATTATGTATTTATTCTCGGCGATGACATATTGGCAGCTCGAGCAAAATACAGACATTAAATTAACAATTTCCCCTTGGGGCGTGTTTGGAATATCGTTCAATGCCATCCCTGCAGCGTTCATTTGATCTCATACCCTAACAAAATTTAGAGTCGACCCAGCTTCTGGTAATCCAAATTAGAAGCTACCGCGACTGTAAATTTTCACTGGGTAAAGCCTCATATCGTAGCAGTTATCATTGGTGGTAATATATGATCAAAACCTCAATGATGATTGGACGATGTGACTTTTTATTGCGATGTAATGGTGATATTTTGTTTGACCACGTTTGTTTTTGTTTGACCACGTTTGTTTCATGTGTCTCGCGCATCGTTTTTATACAAGAATCGTGGCATGGTTATCGAGTCTTTAAAATAATGCTGCTTAAACGTCATGTTACTAATAATGATATTTTAAATTAAACTACAATTTAAGAGCATCAATTATATAATTTATAGCTCGCCGGTCATTATTTAATTAATTTGATTTGTATGTTGCAACATCGCTGTTGAGAGGATATATGTAGCCATGAGGAGGTTTCATGAATTTACAGCTCTTCTTTAAAATATAATGATGCAAAAGTGTATAAGCAAATATTTGTACCCATTTTTCTTATAACTTCATTAAATGGAACGTTTTCACGTATTCTGGAGCGAGCATTTCATGTTTAGTTGATATATTTAAATTTGTTTTGGTTTTTAAACTGAGGCTGCTTACGAAAACATTACTTTTTTGTAATGAAGCATTTGAATGAAAAGCCTCCTCGCTTCCCAAATGTACGTCTCAAACTTGAGGAATTTGATGAATTTCAATGAGGATTTAGACAACTTTTGGACAACACCCCCGCTCAGATGCTGAGTGCAGCTGCTGTATGGGAGCAGTCGGTCTGCCAGAGTTCAGAGGCCAAATTTTAATTTATAAAATTCCTCATCTAAATTCATATGAATACATCAAAGAACATTCGCTAAGGAATTATTCATATGCTTAATGTAAATGTAGAGTTATATCCGTCGTGGGGAACTTAGCAACACAAATGTCATATCTCTATCAACAATCAAAATAGAATTTAAAAATTAATTAATTAATAATATGATAATTCTTCATAATATAGTTCATTCTTTATCCATATTAAAATTTAGACATATACATGTGAAAGATACATATGGTATATGGAAAGATATATAATGTTTATGTCTATATATATATATAACTTATTCAAGATGCTTGTAAACAAGCAACCGATGAGGGTTTGAACGCTCTGTGTCAAGCGCCACTCAATTAAATCGCACGTGTAAATCAAACGAAAAAGCTCGGGAGCCAAATTGCTGCGCTAGAGGCCAGAGTTACGCACTCTTCATCTTTTGGAAGTGCTTGATGGAATACATTATGACTGAATGTTTCAGGACAATGGGAACAGTAAATTGACATAGATTCTTCAATGTGACCCGGAGCTCAAGTATTGTTTAAATGTGCCATGCTTAATTAACTCATTTGCACTATTAATACACGTAACATAAAAGCCAAAGTATCATCTATAGGAGCCATGCTTAATAAAAATGTGTTTTTTTTTCATCGCTCAAAGCACACATGTCTGGTACACAGAAATTTAGTGATGCGAGCAGACCTGATCTCGAGAGAAGGGGAAATTTTTAAACTTGCAGAGATAAATTGTCTAGTTTTATAGAGAAAAGTACGAATTTATGTTTCCTCGCTTGGAGTTGTTTTGTATCTTGGAGACCTCGATCAGGGCTCATTTTCTCTGTCACTTGTCCTATTGCAATCCTCATAGCTGCATCCATAGCAAGGATAATATATGAAATATTTATGTGATAATCCATAAGGACTCAATTTTTAAGTAGTTTTCTTATGTAGTTTTCTTATTTCTTATTTTTAAGTAGTTTTCTCTGTCACTTGTCCTATTGCTATCCTTATAGCTGCATCATAAGAAGGATAATACTATTAATATGGAAATTATCCATAACAGAAATAACGGAAATTTCGTTATGGAAATTTCATTTCAAATTTGAATCTCAGTTTGAATTTCCATAGATCTTTTAATATTGAACCGAAAAATTTTCCACGCAAAACCATATATAGTAAGGAAAAATTAAAAGGCTAAGTATATATGGCGCACAGTAAACATTAATTGATATATATTCGTAATTTCAAGTTTAACATATTACCATAATTTCATATCATATTTGAAGTTATGATATAAAATAAAGCTAGGCTTAGAGAAGGGAAGTTAGATAGCTGCTCTGAAGAAGTAATCATGCCAGGATTAAGGCATGCCGGCCAGCTCTTGTAAACTTGTTGGGATTAACATCGCTCAAGTTCATGATTCGTTCCTAGGGAAGTTCATGAATGTTATGAATAGAATAAAAATTTCTGTCGTTAATTTAAGTTTAAGTGATGGCACAAAGCAAGATTTTAATACAAAATTTAAGTTCATTTGAGACACGCTTTCACGGAAAAAAACTTGCTCTTTTCCTCATTTTTGCTGGGTTCATAAACATATATAAGGAATTTCAATCAGTGATTAATAACCATTGTAAATGAACTTTTAAAACATTACATCACATTGGTGATGTAGGTAGTCTAAACGTTGTCAGGAAATGAGACAGTTTCCTCGTTAATCCAAGGGATCAATTAGCAAAGATAATTATATATTGTGAGATCAGTTCTCTGGGACATAATTAATCCTTATTTCGGAGAGTCTATCTTATTGTCAATTACGAGTTACTCAGCATGCGTAACTAATCAGCGAGACATGAAGTAATTAAAGACCAATAACTGAGATGCTCCCTAAAGGGCAAAAATTAGTTATAATCAAGTGCTTAAATGTGTCAATGAGTTAAGGGAGTGAATGATTTAATTAACCCATGTAATGTTGCATTTACTCAATACCTATAATACTGACTAAATGATTATGAAACTTTAATAAAAATCTTCTCAAAAATAAATTATAATATAATATAATATAATAATAAAATTTAAAGAAGTCATAAATAATCAGTAATTGAGGTTCTCATTTAAAAATACATGAAGTTATACATATAACAAAAATAAATTATAATATAATATAATATAATATAATATAATATTATATTATAATATATTATATTATATTAATAACCTTATGTCAAAGGCGTTTGAGATTTCCCTGCCACGTACCAATCAGCAGATGTATTCCAAGTGAACCTTAACCTGAAGATCATCCATTTAAGGCAGCGAAAAGAACACGAGTATTTTGATGTGGTTCCGACCCTCGGTTGGAACCATTCTTTCTGCCTCGTTTGTGAGGGTCGAGAGGGCAGTTGGTCAGAGCTTCCCTCTGACTGCCCTCAACCCGTATGCTGTCACCTGCAATAGTCTGATGTGTTACGACCAGTATATCTAACGGCACTAAAAATATTCTAATATATTTTTTAAAATATTCTAATTGAGCGGTATAGATATACTTCGACGTTGCATATACTTACGTATTAAATATACTTCAACTTTACATTTTCATTATTCAATGGTGCAAAAAATAGTCGAATGTTGCATCTAATGAATATGAACTAATTATGCTTATTTTTTTTTAATTGTTTCTAGATAATATGAAATAAACATTCATAACTACCTCTTTCATTCAGACAATATATTGATAATAGTTAGCATAAATAATTAAGATCATTGTTTTTTAATTTTCTTTTCTCAATCTTTAGAATTAAGGAATTCGACATTTTTACTATCAAAATAAAAATATAACTTTCAATTATATTTTCACACCTTTATTCTACTAGCGTTTTCAGGCCTCCAGCACAATCGCGATCTTCATACACAGGCGAAAACTTTCCCGGCCTGCGTTGTAAAGCAAACCTAGTAGCGCGCTTTCCTTAAGTTTACTGGAATTTATTAAACATTTTCGAGCGTCGCAGCGGCTGTAGCCACATCCGCACACCAAGCACGCACTCTACGCAATTAGGAGGCGCCTTTGATGTGCGACGCCTGGATACGATGTACGCGACCACGGATGTTAACAAAAAAATACGAAGAATTTTTAGCGCACTTTCTCATTTATGGAAAAAATGCACTTATGTGATCGCCATGTCCGTCCGTCCGTCCGTCTGTCCGTCTGTCCGTGACTTCATGTTTTCGTCGACGAGAAAATGCGCTCTCTGTGACTTACTGCAGTGAGTACTGAGTTATATTTTTTTTCATTTCGACATAACATGAATGATTAATTTTCGTCATTTGTAAACAAATGTTCACTCTGGCTGGTCGAAAAATACTGGCATCAAGAAACTCTGACTGACTTATGGAAATCTCTCTGCTTCAGATCTCATATTAGTGACCGTATCAACATTCAAATGAGTGTCCGGATCTGAGTGGAAAATATTGTAATTTCATTTTCGTATGAGACACTTACACCATTTATGGCACTTGAACAACTCCCGATCATATGAAAATTGTAAAAATGGTAAAAGATAATCTACTTATGAAATTATCTGTAATCATACTGAAACATCTTGCAATGAATTTGAAATGTTTGAATTAATGTTGATGAAGTTTAATGCCTGAGCGCGATTCGGTGCTCATGTGTCTAAAACTTCCTCCATGCGATTTTTCTGTAGACATTCATTTGAATTTTATTGGTATGAATCATTTAGTTCTTACCAATGAAATTACAATTATTCATCAACCAATTTCCCATTCATTCATCATCGTAGCGGAAAGTTTAAGTATTACAATTAGTTGCTACATATTATTACATATTACAATTAGTTGCTCCTGAAACCTAGTTCATGAATTAATCGTTTAAAGAAATTATTTGTCGAGATATTTTTATATGATCTAAGTAAGGCAAATTGCGGGAAATTCTTTAGAATAAAAATTTGTGTGAAAATAAGGGAGTTTTTGAACAAAGGAAAGCTAGGGAAACTTGGAAAAGTTGGGGAAGTTTCCAAGGTAAAGTTAATTGAACTCGTATTGTTAGGGAATAGTATAAATTTGTTGATGTTTTATAGCAACAATTATTCCATTTTCATTTAAACCTTACCATTCCGCAATTTAGGTTTTGAATACTTTCAGTATTTTAGTCATTCATGTTTTAGACTTTAGCTGGAGTGGACCGTACAGCACAGCGCGTAACTAAACAGCACATGAAGTAAATGTGTGATAACTTTGTCTATTAAATAAGTACCAGCCTGCAAGACCATGCTTGAGTTACATCTGAGATAGTTCCCCAGCAGTATAATGTTAGAAATAAGGTGCATTAATATGCAATTTAGATTGCTGTTCTGATCGAATGTTCATCAATTACAGCCAACGGTTAAATTCCAGCCGCAAATCAGAGGTCATTAACCCGAAAAATGCCCCAAAGTAATCAACCTTACCTTAACTTAACTTCAACCCAGTGATGAGTCACCTATATTCTAATAAAATCACGTCAGTACTCACTGCAGTGAGTGACAGAGAGCGCATTTTCTCAAAATCGACGAAAACGTGAAGTCGCGGACGAACGGACATGACGAGCAAAATAGCGCCTTTTTTCCATAAATGAGAAAATGCGCAGAAAAATTACCTCTTGAAATATCCTAGCTCCTTTCATAATTACCGCGGGCCGCTTTTTTGTTGAAATTTCACAGGCAACGAACTTTGTTGCCCCAAAATCCGTTTATGTCAGTTGATGACGTCAAGATCCGACTAATTTAATGGAGGCTCTGGTGCCCCAGTGTCAGCTGTTGCGATGTAATAATGATTTTTTTGCCTCGAGATCACTTTGATAATATAATACAGACCCTTGTGCCTCAGAACTCGTTTAATTTATCTTACTGAGACCTGAAATGAAAATCAAGTGACCTACATTTTTAATATTTAAAATTAAATATAACTCTTCTAATTAAATCTCACAGCACTCACTATACCCTCACTATAATTCTCTAGAAAAATAAACAATTTATCCTAACCAAGTTAGTTAGTTAACAGTTAGTCAAATAATTGTACACTTCTTTTGAGATTTTCAGCATTACATTCTTCATTAAGTTATTTTTTATTACTATTATTCTACCATATTATTTCATTATTATTATTCTATTTTCCACTTAATTTAACGCCCTTCAATTAATTAACCGCTCCTAATATTACCTGCATGAAAAATCATAATATTACCTATATGATAAATATAATATAAAAACATAGAAAACAAACAACTCCATGTTTCCTCAAGCTGCCAATAAATACATAATGAGTTCGAGGTAGTCCACTTGCCTGACTTTTGTTTGTACGAAGCAATTATTAACTAATAAATCCTGTATGCAGGATATCAAACAGTATATTTTGCATGCACTGCTTGAAGTATTAATTAATAATGTATACGCAAGATACACAAAAAATCACAACATTTAGACTAACAAAAACTGTTCTCTTCAAACTTCAAAGAAATTATAAGCCAAGGCTAGGTGCAGAAAGTGGAAACGAGTAAATCTACTTTTTTTAAATGATTTTAGTAGACGACCAACGTAGGGTTCATGTTACTTATTTATTAATAAGAATATGGACACTCTAACTGGTCTGGTTAGTTCTGATTATTTGCGTGCCTAAAAAATCTTATTCTGCCATTTAATACTAAATATAGGCCTGATTTCTAAACGTAATATTGCTAGAATTACAAGGATACACCATACGCTCAGCTGTCACTGACACATAAGTCACATAAGTGACACTGACACATAAGTGACACTGACACATAAGTGTCAGAAGGATGATGGACAGAAGAACCTCTATAAGGTTCTTCTATCATAAAATCATAAAAAATCATAATAAAGTGCAGGTCATAAAGACTTCCATTGTCCACGAGACATAAAAATATAAAGTTTCTACGTTGGTTGCTTTAGGCATACGAATTTGGTTCAAAAGTAACACAATTTTTACTGACATAAATAACAGTAACATAATTCAAACGTAACAACCTCACAATCAATATATGCGTTTATTGATTAAAGAACAAACATCACTTGATTGCTTATATTGCAAGTTTTTCAAGAATTTAAAAGCAAAAAAAACTGGCAAAAATTCACCATTTCTTGTGATCAAAAACGTTTTGGAGTCCAGTTCCATCGTCAGTTCAAATACCTAAGACACAAGTACAAACAATTAGCAAACTAAAATTACATTGAATATATTAAAACATTTATGTTTTGATATCCTCAATGTGATTTGTGTTTTAGGTTTTGTACTGACGATGGGGCTGGACTCCGAAACGTTTTCTTTCATAGAAGATTGTCAATTTGTTGGCTATTTTCTTAGCTTTTAAATTCTTGATTTACGTATTTAAGTAGATTTATTGAATTTATTGAATTATTTGAATTGCGTATTGCAATTTTAGTGTGTGTAGTAAAATTTTAGTGGGTATCTTGAAATTTCAGTAGATGTATTAAGTGCATTCACCCGTCATCCACCCACAGACGTGCCAGAAGCAATTTACCTCCAGACCCGAGCCTTCAAGTATGAGAGTCCCAACGTGGATACCGTCTTCTTAACTCAGGTACGATAATTCTATCATACTTTTAACATTAAACTTATTTCTGAGTTATAAGTTATAATAGCAATATATATTATATGTTATTGCATTATTAAAGTCATAATTGTGATCTATATTATATATTATAACGAACTATAGTTATTATAGGTCGTTATAATAACGAACTTTTTGCTTGCTATAAGCTTTTTGTTCTCTCGTATGCATGCTTGTATATAACTTATTTACGTTGGCAAATCGCTTACTCGTAACATCAACGAATTAATATATTTTTATTATATGCGATTCATTTGAATGTTCTTGGTAAGTGTGGCTTTAAATATATTATCTCTAACATTACTCATTTATTGCATTGCACAAATTGGCAGACAAATCAAATACTTTCTATGAATACATAGGACGCATATATAATGCTCTCGCTTACGAATGTGATGGTATTTCTGATAAATAAATAATAATGCCAAAATAAATTTTTAATGGTGCCGTATATATTGAAATAACACTTTATCGATATTTAAAAGTGACATTTTGTTAAAATCGAACGCAAATTAGGAAACACTGGAAAATTAACGTAAACAATTTGAATGTTGCTCTGGGAAGTTCAAACTTTCATATATTTCTGCCAAACAAAAACGAGAATATTCACGGTATTTTTTAAGATTATCGAGCGCATTGAGAGAGACATTGGACAAGTATCAGTGCAACTTGTCGGATCATGAGTAAAAGTTTGAATATATTCACAAGTTAGACGAAATATCCATTGTTTTGCCAGCCGCCTGTTCTGTTGGGCAAGCGTCACAAGCACAGCGCTGTCCTAACTCACAAACACAACGCTGTTTTAACTCATAAGCACAGCGCTGTTTTCACCACCTCACAAGCACCTGTCTCTTATACACATCTAGATGTGTATAAGAGACAGGCACAGCACTGTTCTCACCACCGCACAAGCACAGCGCTGTTCTCACCACCTCACAAGCACAGCACTGTTCTCACCACCTCACAAGCACAGCACTGTTCTAACTCACAAGCACAGCGCTGTTCTCACCACCGCACAAGCACAGCACTGTTCTCACCACCTCACAAGCACAGCACTGTTCTCACCACCTCACAAGCACAGCGCTATTCTAACTCACAAGCACAGCGCTGATCTCACCACCGCACAAGCACAGCACTGTTCTAACTCACAAGCACAGCGCTGTTCTCACCACCTCACAAGCACAGCGCTGTTCTAACTCACAAGCACAGCGCTGTTCTCACCACCGCACAAGCACAGCGCTGTTCTCACCACCTAATAAGCACAGCACTGTTCTCACCACCTCACAAGCACAGCACTGTTCTAACCAACTCACAAGCACAGCACTGTTCTCACCACCTCACAAGCACAGCACTGTTCTCACCACCTCACAAGCACAGCACTGTTCTAACTCACAAGCACAGCACTGTTCTCACCACCTCACAAGCTAAGCACTGTTCTAACTCACAAGCACGGCGCCGTTCTAACCAACTCATAAGCACAGCGCTGTTCCGACAACCTCACAAGCGACCCTCACAAACGAACTCTCTCCTCCCCTCACAACCTCTCCATGGAATTCTTTCAGTTTTTGACACACAAGACATTCATCATTAGAAGGATAAGACAATGAACCTCATTTCGTCTCCACTCTCCAGCCATCCTGCCACTAATGGCATCGGGTTTTACTGTTTCCACAATTGAATTCAGTACGAATTGAATTCTGTCATTGGACATAACGAATCGGAACAACTTAATAGAAAACATATATTCGGAGACAGCCAGCAATGCCATCGTGGGCTACATTGTAGGAGCCATGAGTAAAACTTTTGACTCGAGTGAAACCGAAACCTGACTCTGCTTTATTAATTATTCTGCGAAAATCAAGAGATTTTCGATTCCTTTTCTCAAAAACTTCAGCTTGAATCAGTAAGGTGAAATTACTCTTGGCACTAATATTCTTATTCTACACTAAAGAAATGAATTCAATTTTGTATTCTTTTTCCCCGTACCTCACGTAGAGCAACTGCTGTCCGGGGTTCGGGTTATTCGATCCAATTAATGATTTTCTTAACGGATCTGGTCTTTTTTTCAACACGAACATATCACAACGCAAAATATCAGTTACAAACACGATAAAAACTATACATTTTCAATTTGCTTAGTATTTTACACTATTTTCCAGCAATAGTGTAAAATACTAAGCAATTCAGCACTTTCGATGATTAGGGAAATTTGTGTGCCCTCCCTCTTTGTAAGAACTTGTTGGAATCTTTCTCAAAGTTCGACGGTCAGAAGTTTCAGTGGAAGTGAAGAAAATTAATCTCGAGTGACATACGGGCCACGGCCAGTCAGATCCTGCTTAGTCTTCAGTAACTTGTCAGGACAAGCTTGGTCATGAGGCACATGTGCGTCACCTAGCAAGTCACTATTCCAGACTGACTTGCAGACAAGTGTTGGATGACACCGTCACTAATTTTTCGTCCAACGACGTTAGCGAAATCCCTCATAAAACCAAGCTCGAAACGAAGATGAAAAAGGCGAACCTTATTCATTTTCATCACAGAATTTTTCTTGACGCCGTGTTCGCTTATTGGAGACCGCGAGGTTCACATGAACTGTTTGTATAAATAAAAGTCTTCTGTAGTATAGACACTTTAAAAATTAAACCCATTAAGAAGTCTCTCTCATTAAGAAGTCTCATTAAGGAGTCTCTTATTTCTCTCCTGTCCTTCAGTGCCATAATAAACTCTGATCCTCACGACCCTACCCAACTTGGTTATAATTCTTTCAAAAACGATTTTACATATATACATCCAATTCAAAATACATCATTATTCTATACATTATACAAAAAAACAATTAAGCGTTGAATCGCATTAGTCATAATCCTAGCCCTCTTCATAGTCAGCCCAGTAGCTCATCAAGACCCCAGTCTTTCTGCTACTATATAGACCAGAAACCCGAGACCCTGAGAACTGCGCTGGCATAAGAAGGCGCTGGCATTGAGATCCTCACACAGAACAATTGTTGCTCATTGTTCTAATAGATCATAAAAGAAGATCGTTTAAATAAATGGACTCTTTGAATAGGCAGAAATGGAAGTCCGTCCTGCACCAACTGCAAGAATTTATGACGACTTATATTTCTAGATTTAATGAAATGCTTTCTCTTTTAGTACATAATATGTAAAAAAATAATAAAGTCTCATATATGAGGAATAATTCTGAAAGCACCATTTGCAGTTTTGGAATGTAAAAAATAAACTTGTACCTATTAGTGGCTAGCCTCTCAAATTTTATTTTTTACAGAAATGATTATCTGATTATATGACCTAATGATCATTATTATCTGAATGGTAAGCAGCTACCAATCTAGGAATAAGGAATTCAAGTTACTCATTTCGGAACATATCAATTTAAATGTTATATAAATATTAATTTTCTTAAATCGAGCTCAGTGCGCCCCAGCGTGGCCAGCAGCAGTGGACTTGTCCATCACGGTGGCCAAGTTCGTGCTGCTGTTCGTGGTGCCGCTGTCCTTCATGGCCGCCGCCTACGTCCAGATTGTGTCCATCCTCTGGCACCGACAGCTCCCAGGGCCACCCCCTGTCACCCATCATACCCCGACCATCGGTACGTCTGGTACAGTGGTTCCCAAACTTTTGCCCCCTTGTCTCCCCAGTGAATTTCCAGCCCCCCCCCCCCAACAGAAATAACGAAATAACAGAAACATTTGAATTCCTACCGCCCCCAGATTTTGAATATTTTAAAAAATTTACACTAGAGATCCAGGTAGGAGAGGTTGAAAAAACAAGATCTGGGTAGAAAAATCCATCGCCGGGAGTCGTGTGCTGCTCGTGTTGTGTACAAATCGTCAAACAAACGTTCGAACTTCTGACTTCGACTTCGGACTGCCGACCCATAAACCGCCCTCTTCTACCTTACCCATTTCCACCGCCCACTTTGGGAACCACTAGTCTGGTAACTCCAACCACTTTCTTCCCCGCGTACCTCCTTCGTTCTGTACCTTGCCCCAAAAGTCCCCAGTCATAGAGGTATCCTCCTCCTATGTTCCCGCAATCCCTCCACATCCTCCTTCCCGGCAGTTCCCATTAGCCTTAGGATACTAGCAGGAAAAGAGTAGGTAGAAGGTTCCTAGAGGTATGTTTCAGGTACAATAACAACGCTCCGTCCCTTCCCTCTCACAGAATAAATATAGAAGTTGTGGTAGTTCTGTGTACTAATAGTTAAGAATAGTAACTAATAATTCTTAATGACTGTCCTAACAGAAATGTTCTGAAAAGAATGGAACGGTAGGAGTTGTGAAATGTAGGTACACTAATAACCCCCTACTCCACCCAGAAGTGCCCCCTCAGCAGTAGCGGGGGCGGGTTGGGGGTGTAGGTACACTAATAACCCCCTACTCCCCCCAGAGAACTGACGTGTAACTGACGTATCCTACCTACCGGTGCACGTCATCAGCATGGCCAGGTCAGTGACGTGTGACTGAAGTGTAACTGACGTGTAATGACGTGTAACTAACGTGTAATAAACGGGTAACTGACGTGTAACTTACGTGCAGTGACGTATAACTGACGTGCAATGGCATACAACTGATGTGTAACTAACATGCAGTGCCGTATAACTGACGTGCAATGGCGTGTAACTGTCGAATAATTTACGTTCATTGAAGCTATGGATGCACCTAATCAGCATCCTTACCCTATGTCTCGGACGTAGCAATCCCGCTTCAGTATTGGGCCACCTTCAGCCTCGGCAAGCAAGTGGTCCGCGTGGTCAAGGTGCCATTGTCCTTGACTACCGCGCATTTGCCCTCAGTTTAACTAGCTGAGGCTAATGCTGCTGTTGCTTGCTGCTTGCCGCTGGTGCAGAGGTGGACGATCAAGAATTGTGCCAAGGAACATGTCCAGTTGTCTTGTGAAGGTTTCAAGGGTGAATTCCACTTCTCTTAACTCCTTCTGCAAGATGTTAAACCGCTTCGGTCCTGCAAAGGATAGCGATCCTTCCCGCAGAGATTTAAATGTGATCACAGCTCTATTGTACAATGAGAGTATCTTGCCAAGTTTCTCACATCTACCATTTTGGTATGTCACGAATCCGCGAGGTCTCGCTTTACAAGTTCAGGGCCAGTCCGGTTACTATTTTCCACGTACCTCTCCTATATCCTCTCCTATATCCTCAGTAGTGAGTACAGACCTTACCTTATGACCTTATGATGAGTTTGGGACTTCCTAGTCCCTGGTCACGCTGATGCGCCGCCTTCGTCGTCCTCCGTCTCCGAGTCGTCGCTAGGCAGGTCACCCCGCCCTCGGGTCCCGGATGTAACGTTGGACGTGTTCCGTATATTTGCCCTCCTTTGGGCCAGCTGATGCAAGATGCTGTTGCTTGTCACTTGCTGAGGGTGGTTCCCCATTACTGGACAATCCGAGATCTTTTTCAACCAATTGTCTAGTCGTCTCTTGAATGTTGCATTTGTGAACTCCCTTCCTCTGAGACCCAAGCGCTTCAGGCTGCCCCACTAATTCAGGTCCTCCAATCCACGGATCCTGGACGTGGAGATTCGCTGGACAGCTTTCAATTGCTGCATTGTGCCGAACGTGAACGGTTTCCAAAGCTGGCAGCAGTATTCAAAGAAATGGCGGCAATATCATAAAATCCGGGACCCGAGGGCGGGGTGACCTGCCTAGCGACGACTCGGAGACGGCGGACGGCGAAGGCGGCGCATCAGCGTAACCGTGGACTACGAAGTCCTAAACTCATCACAAGGTCACAAGGACTCTGGAAAGTGTAAACATCGGTGCCGCTTCTCTTGTTATGAACGTCAGCAAGATCCACCCCATTTGTCGCCTGCCTGTTGCAATTAATTCCCCTGTTTCGTCACCAAACTTTGCCTTAGCCCCAACTAGAGGTAACTAGGAACCTTTCCATCTCTCAACAATGCTTTGCAGAGCTAATTAAGTCAGTGGGACCTTCAGTGCACCGACACATTTTTTCAGTATCACTGCTTGGACTCCATCCGACCCATGAGCTGAAGTTGTCGATAATTCTTGGATACTTCTCTCTAGACCCGGTTTTCAAACTCAATGTTCATCAACGGCCGTCCCCTGTTCTTTCCGTTCATGTCTCACTGAGGCTCGTTTCCGCCGAGACAAGGTCAGATGTGATGGCTATTATGTCCAGTCGTGTCAACTATCAACCGATTTTTTCGTAAGTCATTCGCTTGAAACTAAATTCAAAACTATTATCTTTTTTGACGATTTACTTAAGACACCAGATTATTGTTAGCATATTGTTAACTGATAACTTGAACCGATGATATGCGCCATCTGATAATAGTGATGATGATAATGAAACCGACAATGAATATTTTTGTTAATTGAGTCGTATTCTAATGAGCCGAATACGAGCTTACTGCCTCGTTTGTAGTGCATGAATTCGACTGCATTTTTCATGATGGTTTTGTAATTTCGATTGATGAATATTTTGCAGATTCGCGACTATCTTCGTCATGATATGTCGTACTTATTGTATGAAAATTATTTCCAAGTACACATTGTACTTATTAAGCCTTACAAACCATGTGATCGTCGACGACCGATTAAAGAAAACCTGTACCAACATTACTGCAGAAGAGCCCTTAAGGTATTCCTCGCTCCATCAGCGTCCTAAAATTTGTATCATTTCAATTTTCACAGAACGTATGTAACAAACCAATAATACGCCAAAATTGCATCAATTTTGGTTGTATCAACGAACTAAACCAAATTGCATCAACGCATCAACGAACTAAAACGCTATGAATAGGAATTATCTGTATAAACAAATTTAATGTATGAGTTTCAAGGAACTGGTGTTGCCTTTGCCCACTAGCCAGCCTCGTGGGCCGACCTGTTGCCTTTGGCCACTAAGACAGCCACTTACGTCAAACACTTGCCTTTGCTCGTTAAGCCAAATGCGTGCCTTTGCCCAATAAGCCAAACGCTAGCCGTTGCCCAAAAAGTCAAATACCTGCGTTTGCCTACTAAGTCAGCCGCATAAACCAAATGTTTGCCTTTGCCCAATAAGCTAAACGCTTGCCTTTACCCTATAAACTAAACGTACGCTTACCTTTACCCTATAAAATAAACGCCTGCCTTTGCCTACTAAGCCAGCCGCAAAAACCAAACGCTTGCCTTTGCCCAATAAGCTAAACGCTAGCCTTTACCCTATAAACTAAACGCCTGCCTTTGCCTACTAAGCCGGCCGCATAAATCAAATGCTTGCCTCTACCCTATAAAACGCTTGCATTTACCCTATAAACTAAACGCTTGCCTTTGCCCTATAAACTAAAGCCTGCCTTTGCCTACTAAGGCAGCCTCATAAGCCACTTCACTCGGTCCCATCGAACGCAGCACCTCAGGTCCCCTTTCCCCATCTAACTCCCCCAAGGGAATTGCTCGTGGCGGCTCTCAAATTAAATGAAAAACTGTGGCGGAAATTTTGCCAAGAACTTTTTCTTGAGTTTCGTGATATGAGAAAAAAATCAAAAGTGGTAAAAAAATTAAGTGGTTTTAGGCGTGAAAGTTGAGTTATAGCACGTTATGCATTTTACTTTCGTTAGGCTGAAAAAAATAGGTGGAGTTCAAATTTGAGATATACCTTATTATTGTGAACAATTTTCTTACGACTTCAGGAAAAATCATATAATCATGGATAATTTTGGCAGAATTTTTATGTATCATCAAGCTAATATGTATAATCAAGCTAATACTTCTTTGACTATTCTAATCATAATTAATAATTGTAAAATATGAATTTTGTTGGAATAAATCAATTTTGTTTAAAACTATAAATGTTGGCATACAAGCATCCGCATGGGAAAATTATATCAAGATTAAACATTAATTATCTGTAGGAAGGTTTTACTTCTTTCTCGTCGAGTTAGGCAGCTGGAAAAATGCACATTCGAACTCATTCAAACCGAGCCGTGCCTGTTAACATTCTGCCCTAGAAAACTCTTCCATCTCAAAAAAGTTTGCAATTCAGTAAAACTATTTATTATGCTTATGATTATACATTTTGAAGGCTAAAAAGTCTTTTATCGCGATTCTCCAGTATTTCTTGTATATTGTACAAGTGTACGCATTATATCGCTGAAGTTATGAATGATATTCAATATTGTGTATTCTTTATCACTACGATGAATTGCTCAATTGATGAATTGATCAATTTCATAAAAGTATAATATATATCTAGTTTATATATTATAGTTTATATATAAAATTTTTGCGTGATGTTCGCCGGAAAAAACGTGCCAGTGAACCGAAGTCAAATTTCATAAAGTTTGTGTGCTGTAATGGACTCGACGGAGAAAAGTTTGAGTCTATTTTCTATTTTCGGTAATTTCGTCACTAAAGCAAGCCAAACTTTCTCCGGGAGCATGAAGTTTTATTTTTAAGCTGTTATGTTCATCACTAGAAATGTTTTTTTTTCCATTCGCATAGTTTACGTTTTTAGTTTGTACGTGGTATGAATTATAATATCTGATTGAAATTATCCTAAAAAATCATTAGATATAAATAAACCCGACTTAATTCTGATACATTGTAACTAATTGCTTATTTTTCAGTTACAATACGGTAGATGTTAGTGATTGCATCAGCCTAAGATCATGATAAAGTATTGCAATTTTTAGGTATTGGAGCAAAGGCCTCGACTCCTTCTTCGACATGGACAGCAAGCCGCATAAACATACTTGGACTGTTGCCACATAATGCATGCGTTAGACTGGCCTCTGCCTATCTTCCATGCGATGTCGCTAGATTTCTTCATAACTGGAGTAAATAATCCAGCATTCCATCAGCACACTCTGCTTCTCAGACTCAGCGCACTCTGCTCAAGGAGTCCCATAGAGTTTCTTTAATAATCTCCTAATTACACAGCGTTGCTTATGTGCTGACACCTCTGTGCCTGTGGTCTTGCTATGGGTATGGCAGCGGCTTCATAAAGTACTCTTGTTTCCTGTTACCCGCGACACTCGAGCTACGTTATGGCATTGCAAGCAGAGAGACTGCATTTAGATAAATTAATATGTCAAATTGTTCAAATAGTGACACACTTGCTTGTCTACAGCACGAACAGAGAACGGGTGTTAACTGATACACCCTTTCTTGTGCAGGACCAAATTGAATCAGTATTACCTACACAGGGTCTTAAATTTTGAGTCACAATTTTCTCACTCATTTTTCTGATTGTTAGGGTCATTAGAGACCATTGTTCCTGACCAAAATTCTCCATTTTAATGAAGAATTTTGTGGAGGCTTTGGACAAAAATAGTGGCGCCTTCCACCACTTGTCTTCTGAGTTCTAAGGCCTTAATGCTGCTAGGTTCAAGAGAGGCATTTTGGTCCAATCTCAGACCCTAGAAGTGGTGAAAGAAGCCGATTTATATGATCTTCTTTACTTTAATTATTATTTTTTATTAGTTTCTA